GGCAGCTACTACGGACAGAATCAACGAATCCTCGAAAATGTGCCCAGATGGGACGACCAAATGTGCGATCGAATTTACTAACACTCAGGAACCTGTTAATTGATTCCGCAATTTAGAACTTGCATCAAGAAGCAATAGTTCAAATTCATGTCTGTGTAAAGTGAAATGCCCCGGATTTATTGCTCATCAATGCAGACCAATTAATAATCGGAATGACGAACCGCACTAATTAAGCTTAATTAATAGAGCCGAAAGCGAAATCGGAATGTGCAAACAGGGGACAACATGGGGGTTGAAAATGCCTTCCCAAATGTGTTTGAGGTTTTACGATGGAATAAACACTCCACCCACAAATGTAATAGTGGACACGATGAATAAGTATGATGAAGTATACCCAGTTCTCAGCTCTCCCCCCCCCCCTTGCAAGAAAATCGTCAAACTAATTGGTCTTGGAATCAATGGAAGATACAACACGTACTACACTTGTCGGCTGCGGTCAGCTTAAGGCAACAAGCTTAAACCCCAGTAAGAGATGAAATAAAGGAAAAAATTCTACAAAAAGGCGGCTAAAGAAAAATGGGGACAGAGTGGGAGGGAAGAGGGGGGGGGGCTATCCATACAGACATAAAAGTATAGCAGACTTTTTCTCCTCAGTTGAGCAACGAAATACTTCTGTGATGTCGGGCAGGGGTGGAGAGAGAGCGAGAGGAAGGAGCGGATTGGCGCGATTAGATCCTAATATCTAGTGGCTAAAAGCTTAAAGGTAACCGTTGGGGGAAGGGAGGAGGCATAAGACTAACTCAAAAAAAGTGTTATACAAGATCATGATGTTATTATATTAATTATTCTGCTAAGCCAAGAAAAGATAGAAGTGATTGTTAGAAGTAATCCAGCATAGGAATGAATCAATAAAATAATTATATTTTCCAAAACGATGGAACCCCGACATCGTACCACTTCTCACCAATTGAGCAATTACTGAATGCATGCTTTGTAAAACTAAAATAACTTTGACAATTGGGTCATATTGCTCTTCGTTGCAAAATACATTATTGAGTAAAATGTTCAACTGAATAAAACGGTTAACAAGATATGAATCAATTATGACCGATTGTCAAGGTAAACTTTCGGAACCCAAGTTATCCATTTTAAGGTGATTTATCGATTAATCAGGGTAGAGGTTGTGAAGGTAAGACTGCCTATTTCTTTAATCAATATCCTGTGAATATTGAATGATAAATTAATATCAACTTTTAATTTAAAAGTGGTAAATACAGAACACTACGAATAACAACATGCTGAGCATTCAATAGTTCACAATGAGAGTTGAAAGTATTCGCCATGAACAACGATGCCCAAATCGGCACGTCACTTTTACGTAGGTCACACTGTATCTTTACTTCATTGCTGCACAATTTTGGAGTGGAAAGTATCCACTATGTGGACTGAATTGACTCAAAATTTATTTCCTAACTACGCTTAAGACTCCGTTTATCTAACAATCGAAATTACCTCCACGTAGCACATTCAATAGGACTATTTGCATAGTGCATGGAATACGCATTTATTTAAACACGTCGTACAGAAACAAAGACAACGCAGTCAACTTGGTTACATATAATACAAGCAAATACGTGGAAGTAGTTGTAACGTTACAACTAGGCGCATGCATATTACCGAATCTTCTCTAGTTGTTCTTTTCACTCCGAAGATTTCACTCAAGATTCGCCTTTAATTAACACACTAGTAAGCTCTGACAAGTCAAAAAAAGTGTTAGCTACTGGGCGTGTTCATGTTATTTCGAAGTAAAGAAAGACATGACCAACTTCTCTCAGTTAAGAACCTGGGGATTAGATCCTAAAATTTGACCTTCAAATTGTGATAGGAGGCCGAAAACACAAAGTAGAAGAGCGTGTGATGCTTAGAGGGATGAACAATCCATGTCACTGCAGATCGAAGTCTCAATAATATGTTAGCCCGAAAACCCAAACTAGGGTGAGATGGTAAAATCCCCCTCCTTGGAGTACCCGAATTCCCAAATTTGAAGCATTGCACATAATAGGTCGATATAAAGTATGACTGCGTTATAAGGGGTTTGGGTTTTTACAACAGTTTCAAATACTTTTAACCAGAAAAACTGTGCACCAGAGAGGGATCATTATCAGGATCATACTAAGCGACATAGATTGAGGATAAGTGACCTTCTTATCGTCCTGAAGCTCAATTTAGAACAATGACTTTTGCAGGAAGCTATGGGCCTTAGTAAGCAACAAGCTGTTAGATTACGTCAGGATGAACAAAGAATTAAGCTGAAGTAGGGTCTTTCTCTTCTCGTGCCTTAGTTGACCACATTTCTGAACAATAGGTGTTTGGTTGGCCCTCATGGATATTAATAAACGTCGGATAAATCGACTGCAGAAGTAATGAGGAAGGGGAACTCCATGAAACATTTGCCACCAAATACGCATTCAGGACGAAGTTTTTTGCTCCTTTCTTCCCTCATTCACTGATGTGTAATTAATTATTCACATACACTCCGAAAGGACAGATAAACAAGCTTTCACTTATGGCCTGGCTATTCTCCTTTTTGATTTGTTTTGGGTGTCAAAATAGTGGTCTCTGGAGGACGTTTGAATTATTAAACACCACAGAATGTGTCATCGGTAGATCAGAAACCAAGACTTACACACGACGTGAGGCATCATAGGAAGTCGTTCAATGCTGCAGAAATAAGAGACTGATATAACTAACAACAACAGTAAAAATAGCGTTAAATATAACATATTTGACACTATGAGATCAGTGGTTCATCGTGCTTATAGTAGACCGAGGATAAGATTAAATATCTAATAACCAGGGGACAACAACTAACGATTTTGAAATTAGAAATAGAAATACCATCTCATAAAAATTTCTGGAAAAAGTGTTATTCATGGACCACTTATTTTTTGATATAAAAGCATTAACTAAATGCAGAATAAGCAAACAATATTAAGACAAAGAACTGAATGCTTTATCAGCAGTTAAATTAAATAAAAAAAACAAATTTCAAGAAATTGACTGAAGTAACAAATAGGTGTGATTGCAAAGGCAGATTATTTGGGCAGTTCTAATTCACTTAATTAGAAGGGGCACATTTAAAAAAAAGGAATCCAGGTTTCGCTTCGAGCTTGGTATTACTATTCTCATTTGAATAGAAAATTGAGTCAAGTAAAAGGCGTACAATTGTATTCCTTATTTGGGTAACTCAAGTAAAAAAATGAACCCGAAAATGGTCAAAATCAACCAACAACCTTGTAATAAGCTCCCAATAGGAAGGTTGGGAGCGTCTTATACAAAAATAGCAAGTGGTCTTTTCCTCAACACGAAGAAGACAGTAAACGCTAACGAACACAAAGGTACTGGGAGTCATTCCATTCTCATGAGAATTTGGCAAATTTATACCTAACGCCAAGAAGTTGGTGGAGTAGAGTTCAGTCTTGACCTGCAGATATGGGGTCACTCAAATAGCGGATGTCTGTGTGTGCAGCTAAGGTCATCTCAGAGTGCTGGACATTGGTTAAGTATGTGTTGACTGAATGTTGAAATGATAGCACACACGCACACACACACACACAACGACCACACAGTAAGACCACGACTAACGATGATTCATTTCGGGGGCTAAACACGCAACCACCTCACACTCTACTCCCCTTCCAATCCGCCGAAATCACACTGAGGGAAGTTTTTTTCTGGTCGCTAGTGCAGGCACCACTTTGGCATGTTGATTGATGGTCGGAGGTGTCTTTAGAGAGAAGAGGAAAAAATTACACTCACTAGCACTTAACCAATCAAAGTAGGCAAACCCGCACTATTAACACATGAACGCTCTAGAAACGAGATTTGCCTGATTGGAGGACTTCTAGCTAGACACTTTCATCGAGAAAGTTATATAAACAGGCAGCTTATCTGTGTGCCGATGACGCAACGGTTGGCTTACAAGCCATTGAATTCATTCAATACTGCATCGATGAACAGCAATGGACACAAAGTGAATGAAGTGGCCAGTCGAATTGCTCAAGTCCGGCTAAGTGGAACAAGTGGATGAATCTAAACCACAGGGAGAAGAAACGCCAAAATTTTTAAAGAGACTCAAATAATCAACAAATTCGGTTTTTTTTAAAAAAAAAGTCACCAAAATGAAGCCTAATTTGAACTTTCCAAATACCTCAGGACAAAATGGACTGCCTTATTCAATTGGAATAAGCTATTCTCCCGTAAAAGGAGATAAAAGTGCAAACAAACAACTCGCATTTGTTATAGTCAGAAATGTTTCAGTTCGGAGGAGGGGCCGGGGGGGGGGCGTTGGGCGGGCTAAACGTTCACAAATGAGTCACTGCTTCGATTTGACCAAAACGCAAAGATAGGAAAAAGCTGGCATTCAAGGGAGACGGGGCAGCAAAAAAGAGGCAGATTAAATTTACACCTTTTACAAGACAAAATGGCAGGGAAAACAAAGTATTTATAATGAATAAAAAAGGCTCTCCTTCAAGGCGAAATTGAAACAAAAAATAAGTGCAAGGGAAGGGAAAGGAGTGATTATATACATGCTGAAATCTTCAATTCAACTAGTCATCCTCAACCCGAGATAAGCTCAGTGGAATTCAAAAGATTTCTAAATATACTAAACTAATTTGAACTCTCCCAGAGTAGGGATTACTAGATACTTACGATTAATCCCCTTTTAATCAATCTTGGAAGATGGGCTTAAAGATATCTATCATACTTACAAAATCGTAGTTCAATAATGTGATGAAAACTTAAGAGGTACAGACAGCAATCAAGAGGGGTTTAAATCACTTTCTCATTCGTTCTTTGACTCAACTCCTCCATCAATTACCTTCTCTATTTCTTATCCTGTAAAATATATCGATAAGATTAAGACCCAACCATTAATTGTTAATTATCAACTATGCATTAAGCAAGCCCAATAAACATGCAACAATTTACATTTACTCTCATGAATCACCAAATGGGTTAAAACTGGAGCTAGCATTTAATCGAATATGGTCGTAAACAATGACAAATGCTGAATTTGTGAAGAAAACACGGGAGAGACTTACCTTTGGAAAGAATTGTAGGAGTTCTCATAGACAACAGATCCGGAACCGCCAGCAGATGGTGCGGCATTATTTTGGGCCTGGGCTTGAGCTGCAACATGAGCTTGAAGGAGAGCAGTAGTGGAAATGAGTTCAAGATTTGGGATGGGCTGATGGTGGGGAAGCGTCATTTGACCTTGATTGAGAGGGGGATTACGCATTGGACGTCCTACCGTAGCAAAGCCCTGAAACAATAATGGACAAATTGCAACCAAAGAAGGTTTAGGTATCCGGTTCTATTCTGAGTTACCAACCCCATTAGTCTCCAAAAAACTCTAGAGATATGAATTGATTTTTTTTTCTATCAGGAGAAGATATCCCTGAGCCACTCAAATTCTTCTATCTTTACCAATAGTGGGCAAGGTGGTTGGACATTCCCGAGCAGTAGCCATGGCCAGGGAAACTTTCATTGAGACATCCTTGGAGAGAAAATTGCAAAGTGCAGCTACGCCATCAACCAGAATTAACCAATCCGATTGTCCATTTCACTCACTAAACAACTATCAAACTTGTGACCCTTAACTTAACAGTTGATCTCGTAAAGTGCTGAAACACTGGTTTCATGCCATTAATAAGAAATTGAGAAGCCCTTTTAACAATGCGAATTCAATTCTCAAACAATCAAAGACAAAGAAATTAAATGAGCACATATGGTAGGATTTTCAAGAAATAAACCGAATCAGTATATCAGTTAACTTTTCTAGAAAAAAAGTACCTCATTTGATCCATCGACAATGAAACTTTTGGCTTAATTAGTGTAAACGAGAAATTTCCGAGGAAATTTAATTACTTTAATAATGTTTTAAGGCCATGCTCACAAAATTACGCGGATAGGTCAGAGTACGATGCGGGCAATTCTACCAAAATTACTTAACAGCCTCCTCTCCTCTTCTTGGTATTAAATTGCAAACTTCTTGGATTGATTTTCCTGGTTCAATTCCATCGGAATTCCTTCTGTTCAAAACGTGCCTTACACGACTTTAGCACCAACGTAATTGCATTAATTAAGGGTCTATCCATCTAATTAACTAAAAGCAAGAATAATGATACTGGATTTCAGGCAAGTGCTCTGCCAGCCTTAACATTTGAAGGTAAAATATTGAGAAGTTCAGTCCCAATCCCAGATTTGGGTGACCTTGGAAGCTAAAGAGTCTCACGTTCGCAGTTAGAGGAAGATGAGTCAGCTTAAAAAATTATTTAGAGTCACCATCCTAACGACTCCACCCCTCCCCCAATAGCCTTGTAGAAAGTAATTAAGAGAATTCAAATACCTCCGCAACTAGAGATTAAGAGAAGAACAGGTTCAATTATTTCAATGACCATTTAGAGCAATCCCCATTATTGACTGTTTTAAGCATGAATGATTCAATACAATAGACTTTCTTTGGGTCTTGATTCACCTGTCTTGACTATTATTTTGAGTATACTTTCTTCCAGGCTTCACCTCGAAGCTGGCGATTCAAAAGAGGCTTCAATACAAAACAAACTAGCCGTTGAATTCACTGGTAGACTTCTCAAACACAATGGTCCCTTAAAAGTGGTCGAAAGATTAGCCTTCTCGTCATTTTATGAAGAACCTTGAGTCAGCTGCTATTTGACTAGCTAATTACCAATAGAGAAGACAACAATAGGCCAATAGGCTATTCTCACTGGTAATGACAGAGGTTTAAAAATGGATTAGCTTTAATTGTTGCCACTCACAGAAAGGTAAGAATTTCCAGACGCTGCATTCATAGCAGCGGCGGCTGCATTGACGGAAGCGATTCGTTGTTGCAATTGTTGTTGCTGGTGCTGTTGAATGAGAGCTGCTTGTTGCATCTGCAGAAATTGGTGACTTGCATCTCCAGCATTCATTATCCCACCTGAAAAAATGAGTAGTAAGGGCATTACTTACAGGCGTGTGGTTGTTAGTGGGTAGTCAGATAATCTGCAATTGACTCATCCAGACTGATAATAAGCTAATGACAAGCGCAGATATTGCTCAATATTCCACTTACTGATTTTATAGATTAAGAATATTCAATCCTAGCGTGTAACTAAAAGTAAATTCTGAACTTGTCTGGCTCAGTAGTAAGTTATAGGAATCAATTTTATAGCAACCACTTCAAAAAATGTTCATAGAAAAGAGCGAAATAGCCTGGAATTACAATATTTTTCAAATTGACCTCCTTATTGACATAAAACCCATATTAAGATCTACACCAACCTGATTATTACTTAAATGATCAGCAAAAATTGCGATTCAAAAGACCAAAAAATTTGCCTCTGATCTGAGATGATAATCACTATTGTTTTCAGCTTCATTCAAATGACTATTTTGAAGTGATCGTTGTAAGACCCTCCACCACAAACTTCAGTCCAGCTCGACTCCATCATGAACCTTAAATATGCTTCAAACAATCATAAAGATTAGATCGTACTAAATGCATCTGCAAACTGTTGACTAAATGCCAATCAAAGATGACGAGGAATGTTGATCAAATTAAGTCAAGTTTGAGGTAATTGAAAAAAACAAATAAGCTTTTAAACCATGCAGAGCCTACAAGGTGATTGAAAGGCAATTTGCACTAAAGATCTCCAAAGCGCAAGAAAAAAACCCGAGCGCTTATTGATGCATCAATGATGAGCGTACAAAAGTGGAGGCTACGTGTTTCATAGTGGAATCCCGAATGCCCTAACTGCCTGTTGGTGGCACATGTATTTGCCAAAATTAAAGGTCAAAAGTTCAATGGCCACCTGAGTACACCTAGTAATCATAATGGCAAATGGTATTGAATAAGTTTGGCTAACGGAGGAAGTTGTAGAGATTGAATTTGTGGTCAGAAGCCTCAAGATGCTACTACTTCGCCCCTGGAGAGCACTAGGAAACGCTTGCTTTACTGGGCTTGAGAGTAAAATTGATGTGCAACTCGAATTTCAAACAATGTCTAACTATTTGTTTTTATGTGCACTTTTGATCTTCAGGTCAATTGAGGACTGTCAAATAGTTCAGCGAGCCCTACTCAATGTTTGGCAAATAAAAGCTAAAGTTAAAAGGAAAATAACTTGAATCTTAAAAATAGGTTAATGAAGACACTCTATTGTTCCATAAAAATTTTAAACTCCTTCATAACTAATAGCGATTAAAAGAACACCGTCAAAAGGGCTTGAAAACTTGCGAACATTTACTGAATTTTTGATGAGCAACTAAGCAAATTAAACGAACATATGCTTCAAGATAGAATAACTTTGATACCAAAATATCAGGAAAATTCTAAACCGAATTAGTTAACGAACAGTCAAAATAATATATTGTGATAATTGCAATCAATTACAGCGCCCTTCCCATTTTTACGTCACTTGGAATTTGAAGCGTAAAGGAAAACGCGTTAGCTCACATTCTGTGGTAACTAAAGACATGTTGAATATTTATAAAACATCCACCAATTTGACCAAGTGGAACGCATGGTTTAAAAGTTATTACCTTAAACCATTGTGAAGATGAACACAATCAAATTTCCCAGGCGAAATAAGAGAAAAGCCTGATGTAAGAAAAAGAAACAAGTGCCAAGGAAATGTGAATGAACTCTTTATCCAGAAATGCGTTTGAGGGCTCTACGCTTCTGATGGAACTAGTAACTCCCAAGTCCAATTGGGAAAAATTTCACGACGCATCTTCACGGACCTACTTGGGTTCAAAACCTGTGTTCAAATAATCCACGCTTTTAATCCTGGACACTGGAAGCAAAATAGCCAATGATTTGGAAATATAAGTTGCGTAAAGCACAAAAAAACAAATTTTTAGTTAATTAAAACAATCTTAGCAGACATTGGCTTATAGCGAACGAATCACTCCGAGGAGCGGATCACCACACCCACGACGACATTTTTTAAATGACATTACGAAGATACTAAAGAAAACAAAACCCCCAAAAAATAAAAACAAGTCAAAAAATATAAAATTCAATTCTTAAGAAGGTCTTTATAACTATGAAGAATCATCGCATTGAAGGACCTAAGTCTTCGCATTTTAACCATCATCACTACTCAAGTAAATAACTAATCGTTTATTGCCAATCTAATACAAGAACTCTGAAGTTGGAATACTAAGATGTATAACCTTAAAGAGGCACGACATCTAAAAAGATTTGCCGCTTGATAGAATTGGGGAAAAGACCAAATCGAAACAAAAATAAATCATTCTACAAATGAATAATGTATTAAAATAAAATTAATCACTTCATAACATCTGATAAGTCTACGAAATGAGATAGCATTCTAGAAAATTTGCTTTAATGAAACAAAAAAGTAATTTCAAAATTGTACAGAAAAGGAAAGAAATATCTTGAAAGAAATGAAGATAATATCTTACCAGGAGGCAAATAATTTATAGGGAGACCGGTAACATGAAGCATGGTAGGAGGAGTGCCAGTAGAGGGCTGCTGGCTCGTAATGTTGAAACCCATATGACCACCCAGAACCGGATACATCGAGTACTGACTACTTGAATCGATACAAGGAGGTAGAGAAGGTGGAGGTTCCGAGGGAGGCGGTGGAATGGAAGTCTGTCCAATCCGAGTAGAGGAGCGGGATAAACTGATCGGTGGTCTACGTCTGGACGTGCTATCACCGCAAACTGACGCTGAGGAGGTGTCACGACGACGAAGTCTTTGTTGCTGTCTTCGTTGTTGACGACGCAAGTGATAAATCTCATTTGTGTTATTTCCGTCATGGTCATCATCTTCCTCATCGAGGTCTGGGGCTTCGTTATCAATATCGGAATCTCGAGATGTAGGGTTATTGGTAGCAGTGCTATTGGCATTATTTGAAGACACCAAGCGTCTACGGGACAACTGATCATCACCGATAGAGGAGGAATTCAGAATATCAGAACTATCACCTCCAGCATCATCAGCAGGGGGGAAGTGCCTGTACTGCCCATTTAATGGTTGGTCCATATCTTCAAGCTCTAGATACCAAAATATAGTTAAAATAGATATCAAATACCCTGGGATGGTATCTTAGCAGTTTTGTTCCTAAATTTATCACGGCCAATCAATCCATTAACGCCAGATCTGTAAAATATCCTAAAGATACACAATGACCTACCGTGACTTAGAAATAGAATCCGGGTTTTCACGATGGTTGATTAAATTATGAGAGGATTGAGAATTTCGATTTGAAGAATTTTTTAAATAAGTATCCAAGCGAATATCATCTGATGCTTCACAAGTAACTGGCCTTCGGTTCATGCGTCATAGGTTTGATGAAGCATACACGGTAGCAGACACAAAAATTAAATACAAGAACATGACTTTGAAAGCCCAGAGTGCTACAAACCTTGAAGAAAATTAATCCATTAAAAGAAAGAAAAATTTCTCAAAGCATTAAATTTAAAACTTTTCAAAAAGACGTATATGAATTATTTATGAAATAAATATATTTAACTCATAATAAATGACTGGTTTATATCTTTTTATGCAAGCATACGTTGAGATTATTTATACCGCTTGAACTTAATTTAGACAATTGATGAGGCTCAATTATCAGCTACTTATCGACTCTATTCGATAAACGCAGTATCTAAATGTAGTGTATAATCGTATTTGAGGAATTTTTAACAAATGCGGTTTCTTCGTTCATGCTGAATGTGGAAAAACGGACCTTAAATGTTTGAAGTAGTTACTATTTGAAAGCGAAATGAAATGCTTAAATATACACAATGGTAACAAAACTATATAAATTTAATACAAATTCAGTTCTTAAAACCGATTCAATAACTAATTATGAAATACGATATGAATGTTCAACAGCTATGAATCTACAAAAGCGGGAAAAATAGAGCTCTTGCAGAACTGTACACTCATTCAAACATTAAAAGTCGCAATGAATTCTACTCTTAGTGGAGTATCCTTTAATTTGAACTCTTCATTATTAGAAATAATATTTAAGTATTTATTCAACTAAATACAAACAACTTGGTTTTTTGAATTACAACATATTTCTTCACTAAGCTTGAATTTTATATGTAGTTTGAGAACTTTTAAGTGTTAAACTGTACCGTTTTAATAAAGACGTCTTGTAATTCTTTGAATGATCCAAGTTTATTAACAGTCCTTTGGGACTTATTTCAAATCTAAACGTTAGCTTAAACCATTCATCAAATTATAACGTTTATGAAATAATACAATTTCGAGTTTTGTACAAATTTTAGTTTATTTTTGACATTAATTATGAATTTCCAAATATCGAAATAGGACTCCAATTTTTCTTTTATCCATTTACATGAGTTCACATGAAATTTTTCTTTGAAATAACTTTATAATTAATACAACCTATCATGTGATTTATCATATATATGGTTGTTAAAAGAAGAAGATTCTTTTTCCTTTTGAGATCTTACTTAAATAAATATCTGAGCATATTTTTTTCAAAACAAAATTTGCATTTATTTAGTATTAACTTTGCTTTACTCGTGCTAATATCGTTGAAAATGTGTGTAGTCAAATTTTATGGTCATGACGGTCAGTTATTCGCAAATATGGAAAGTTGGATAAATAACCATTTCCTAATTATGAAGAATGTGAAGCATATAAAACACTTCGTTAAGACATTTATTTATTTATATCAAATGTCAGGCGTTTTGATAGTTATCATTAGCCTTTTAGTTGGCTTCAGGCTTCACAGAGAGGAGGTGGAACATCAAAGTGACAACAAGTCGAGAGGGGGGAAAAGAAGAGTGATTCACAGATGTAAAAGAGACAGACAGACACAAAGGCAGAGAAAAGGTAAGATGAGTACTGTGAAAGGGGTCGAATGTGACAAATAGTCGCGTCGTAGTAATTTGAAGTCAGAAGTCAACTGCCGATAAATAGACTTTTTGCCGCATAAGTATACGTTGCCCAGGGTGCACCACGTGGAGGT